ATTTGATTGCATTGAGATTTGACAATGTCACTAGTGTGCTAGTCACTGTTCCTTTGAAGGACTTAGAGAGAAAGCTATACCTTAGGACCTTTAGTGTAGGGATCTCCCTGTTTCTGCTTTATTCATAATGTAGATCTGTGCTTTCTCCACCACTGCTCCTGCTTTCTAATCATCATACCAACCACTAGCAATAACATTGATCTAAATAAAGGTTTCCTTTGAAGAAGAACTCTCACCGGCACTGAAAAAATAAATGCTGGTCCATACATTCATGTACAACTACCTGCATATGCCTCTCCAATGAAATGTTAATGGATTGTAAAAGTCAAAGAAGATAATCACTTCTTCTATTCTTGCCTGTCAGCTACTCCCCTGCCAGAAGCCTGATTTGTGGGATTTACTATTAATGACCACCTGTCCAGTAAGCGCGCCTGTTGGGCACACTGAAATCACAGCACAACGCACAGTTTGAATAGTGATGGCATATGAGTGTCAAACAGATGGTTTTTTTTAGTCTGGCAGTCTGGCTGACAAGCCCCCTTCCCCTGCATGCCTAGTGATAATGCCTGTCAATTACCCCTCATTCTCTATTTGTCTCCTTGTGAGCAGTGTGGTGGTGGGGGGATGTAGGCATGCTGGTACAGTAGCCATAAGCTGGCTACTAGATATAAAATATGAGACATTGTTTCAGCAAAGAGGGCATTTTTATACTTTTTTTTACTCTGTTGGCATATGAAAAGAATAATCAAATATTTAAAAGTGACCTGGTGTGCATCTATTCAAATCCAGTGCTGGTAACATTTCTAGATAATATTGTAGCCATACAGTGTTTCTTTGAGGTTACTTTGTAATGAGGAAAATATGTGGGCTGCTGCTAGGTGGCTGGCTTTGCATGGCTTCAGTACTATATATAAGGTTCGGCCTGATGTACGGTTCATTCTGAACTTTGTAGGGCACGACATGACCTGAACACTGTAGGGTGCATCATGACCACATGTAATGGTATGTGATATGATTCAATGTGGAAAGAAAACACTCTTCCTGGATAGTGATTGATTCCTAACCACATGTAATCATATTACACATCATTACATGCGGTGTGCAGGCGTTTACATGCAGCGGCTGATCATTACTTTGAATGGGTGACAGTTGCCACTTGTAAATGCCAGATTAGGGATTCCTGCTGCAGGAAAACGTAAGTTCCTGACACAGGAATCCCTAATCACACCTAAACTTATAGGTGTGAATGGGGCCTGAATACACTTCCCCCCATACACATAAAAAAAATACTACCCCTGCACATATAAAATAATAATACAACCCCGTCCCCCCGTCCCCTTGCACCCCACATATAAAATAAAGAGCCCCCTCTCCTGCTTACCTTGTTGCAGAGAGGAGGCACGATCTCTCGTGATCCAGTGATTGATTAGTAAGGTTTGGTGCATCCTTTCTGCCAGCGTTCACTGAAGGATTTTAAAGCGCTGGCCAAAAGAATCTGAGTGTCAGCACAGAGAAGCAGCTATGCGGTCGGCATCTGACCGTGACCTCTGGCCTGACCTGTCAGCTGGGTGTGGGCCACATATTATCAGCTCGCTGGTCAGTACTTTGAGACCCCTTATCTACAACTTTTTGCTCAAAAGGCAAAGCCCTTCTTCCCTTCTCCAGCAGCATATATACACTTTCCTTCGCTCTTGTGCTACTCCAATTGGCTACTGGGAGTAAAGTCAAATACTTGGCACTTCCAGATATAAGTGAGATATAAGTGAGAATGTGACTTATTCCCTCTCTCCCATGTGAGACGTCTTTGACCCTTTGTAAGATCCATCAGATCAGTTTGGAGCTTACACAGGGCTTCCTTTTTCCGGTCCTGGTGGCTGAGTGATGCAGGAGGGAGGAAAGGTGAGTAAGTGCTGCTGGGGAGTAAAGAGTTAAGGGCCCCTTTTTCTTTGTACTGTATGGGCAAACAAAAGGATAACTTTACAAAAGATTGTTTGTCCTTTCAAAACAAGACAAAAGTTGTTAATTCTTCTTTTAAAATATGCACGTTTATAAGTGTTATTCAGTAATGTACCTTCTGATTTTGTCTAAAAACTTTCTTCATAATAGACAATTATAGTCTGCTCATCTGCCCTTGGAAGTGGAAAAGGTTTAATTTGTGGCTTGACCAGTTTGCCCTTACCTGAGATTATTACAGCACTTACACACTTGTCCTAAGAGATAATCACTCTCCTATCAGTTATGTGAATTTCAAATGTAACCAAATCTGTCTCATCAAATAGTTTTAATAGGGCGGTTATTACGCTGAAAGAGGACTCATTTGGTTCTGAAATTTAATGATGAACTCTAATCAGATTTGAAAACCTCATGATTCCTAATTAGGAGGAATATCAAATTATTCAGTTGAAAAAGTAAGCTTTATATTAGAATAAATGGTGTTAAAATGGGAACCTTTACTCTATTTGTATTTGATCAAGAGAAGGGTTAGCTCCTTCATATTCTTGTTTTATGGAATAAAAGACAATGAAAGTCATTATTTTTAAAAGACCCTGCCTCAAAGGTTTTGTGCTTAGTAATTTGTGGGCTCTATAAAGTTTCCAGGATTCCGCTGTACTGTTAAAGCTGAAGTCCAAGCAAAAATGCAACCAATTTAAAGTCCCATGTAGTGATGAAAAATGCAGAGAACAGAAAAAAATGAAGAGGACAGACAAAATTTGTCCCGTGAGCTGAACTTTGCCCTTCTGCATTTAAGACATTTACAGACTGGCCTATGCTGCTTATGTAAAGCAACCATGGGATGGCTGGGAACCTTTGGCCTGGGGGATGGGGGGGGTGGGGGCACATATTGATAAATAAAACCAATTGGTAATCTGCTCCAGAAAACTTTTATCAACTAATATATTTATGTTATTTGACATATACAGTATCTCTGTCACTCCTGTCATGATCATCTCTTGAGGAAGTAGACTTTGATCCAAGAAAGGCATTGAGTAAACTCTATATATGACCTTCTCAATCTTCCTATGAATCTGTGTGGAGTATTGATTTTGGAGATAGATGATTAAGATCGTACAAACCTGTTCCTTGTCAGGATTTAATATATAGAACTCCAAGTGGGAGGAATATGGGTGGAGCTAGGGGGTCCATAATTACCAACTTTTTAAATATTTATTGTTTGTTTATTATTGTTTACTAATGTGTGTGGTTTTTACTGACTCTAATAAATTATGTCAATTTTAAATCTTTTGGACATCTACATTACCTTGAAAGCCACATTGTTTATAAAATTGTACGTTCATCAGTTTTACCTGCTGTTGGCACGATGCCTCTGTGGCTTTCAACTTGTAATTCTCGAAACCACTAGGTTGAGTTTTAACTCCAACAAGTTCCTTAGTCTGTGGCTTAGCATGCCACTATTTTGTTCTGCCCAGCCCTGTTTGACCCTCTTCCATGTTCCACTGTTTTTTTACTGCTGTTTGAATACGGTGTACACAGTTTCACTTGCTAGTTTGTATATTTCTAGGTTGTCTGTGGTTCTGTTTGCTGATTTTTTTTTTAAATCAAAGCTTTAATAACATTTAAGGATAAATAAGCGAAAGTTTCAAAAGTGATGCAGTTATAAAGCTATTTTAAACCATTGTAGTATTTGGATATAATATTTTGGTTAGTAACATGAAACAATAGATTTATTTGAAAGTTAAATATAATGTCCACACTCTCAATATTTGTTAAACATAGGAGCTTTTTCACAAATACAGTATATTACTGATATTATTTGCTCTATTATATAAAACCTGGATTTTAGCTTTACCATCCTTCACTATTTAACTCCTTCCAACAGTAAAAAATAACTCTGTAGCCTTACTTCCCATCCATACTATACAAATCATTTCTTAGTTAATGACTTTCACTTCATCAAATGTTTGCTTATGTGCTTCATTGCTATACAAGAGAATGGAAAGATAATTAAAATGTACAATGAAAATTTAAGTTTTCGGAGACTGATATTCAAACCTGTATTAAAAATAATTCAGCAAAGGTGCCCAGAGGTCACTGAAGCTTATAAGCCTGGCAGGAGAAGGGAGTATTTACACTTTTCTTTTCAAGGGACCATTTTTTGGCAGTTTTATTTTAGCAGCAGTGTCCATGAAATTTCCAACATCCTTTCAATTTATATGCAGTGGTTCTGTGAGACATTAAAATGTTTTTCAATTAAAATGTTTTTTTTTTTAAGTAAGGGTATCCAGAGACAAGACATACTCATCAGATTTCTGGTCTATTCTTCAGACAAACTATCTTTCTGGTACCATTCATCTCCAAAAGGTCATTTGTACAAATCATGCTTTTCTTCAGACCCTTATAGCATATTTGTTGTAAGAATAAAACATGTATTGCCAACTGTATTTTCTGCCAGGTTAACTATATGCTGAAACATAAAACTACTATTTGAAGTATATTTTACCTTTAGATGTAACTTCTGAGTGTGCCTACCACTGGTTGAAATCTTCTGCCTAAATCCAAGACAATTATAATCCAGCTTCTAGCTGGATGAGCCAATTATTGGAAGACAATTTACAACTGGTTGCACCGGGTCACAGAAAACTATTGATCTCTTTACAGATATTATATACACCTATATATGTAACTATTAATTAGTCCAGTCTAAGTTTTCATACCAGCTTGTGAACACTAGCCCTTTGTAAAAGACCAAGATATCTCCATTTGCCATAAGCTAAGAGGAGCTGTGCTACAGTTTATTGAACATTGACATTTTGGGTCACAGTCAAACGCAGGTTAGTGTCAGTCGATAAAACAATTTCCTTTATCTTTCTTCAGCTTGCATTCAGAAAAGTTGGCTTTTCTTGAATGATTTTGGTTGCACAGGAAATTTACAGTAACAACAACATCTGAGTAAGATATAAATAATGAATGATGTATCTTATGATGTAACGGCTTAATTCAGCATTTATGAATGTCCTTCTATTACTGATACTAATGATATCTTAAGGAAACAGATTTTTGTATTTCAGTTTTTCTTCTTCCTCCTTCTCTTGCATTCTCATCTCCAGCTTCAGTATTTCCTTCTTGACTTGACGGGTCATTGTTGGGTCAAGTTCCATGACTTTCTCAAAATCTTTCTTTGCTTCAGCTTCATTCCATACTTCAGCGTTGGCCTTAGCGCGCAGGAAATAAGCCTTTGTCAAACCTAGAAAAGGAAGTGTAAACTTTATATTCTGTTTATAATTTGTTTATATATACCGCACACTGTGATATTTCCTGAAGAACGTGACACCTAAAGCGAACCAAGCAGCAGATATATTCTTTCATGTTACATGCATGCAAACTAAGTAAGATAAAGGTGCCGGCACTTATCTCTCACAAAAATCACAGAATTCCTTCTGACAAATGCCTTCATTGTCTTTTCTCTGCAGAAGGCTGGCACCAGCCTTTTTCACCCACTGTCTAGGGTCCTCAAAATCTTTCTACTAAACAACACAATCATTAAAGTCCTGATGCCCCTACAGTAGCCTTTATGTTCCGGGTTGTGTGTTCATATCTCTCACACAGATAAGCCTTTACTGCTGCCTTTCACATCTGTCTTTTTACAAGGTTATAATGTTACAGTCATTAGTTGAAGGGAGCCCAAATAAATCCTTCTTCATTCTCCAGATTGCACCTCTCAGCCAAGGTACAGTCCCTTGTCAAGAGCACAAAACAACCAGGCATTAATAAGCCATTTCCTTCATCATTAATATAAGACTGCATAAAATATACAACAAATTATATAATTAGATAGGTTAGAAACAGACCATTTACTTGACCTAACACATTATGCAACAGCAAATTCCCTTCAGTGTCTGTATATTGAAGTTTAAGAGTTGATTCACTAAAGGCAAACAGGCTGTTCACTTTGGGGGGGAGTTTCCCCTTAGCTTAGTGAATGTGGTGAAGTTTCACTTAGCAAAAAATACCTAATCATGTGCAAGGAAGCTAAAAACACAACATTTTAGCTTGCACGTGATTAGAGGCAACTTCCCATGCAAAGTGCAAATTCCCTTGCAAAGTGAACAACCTCTTTGCTTTTAGTAGATCAACCCATCTGTGTGTCTGTGTATAGTATTCATTGAACACTCTAGGTTACCGTATATGGGTATTAGCTGCTATCCTCAGGAGTCTGTGTACATGGCAAGCACCAGAAATTCAATGAACCCTCCAGGTACCTCAGGAAGTTCTGTTCTTCTTGCTTCAAACAGAACTGAAAGCCAGCAGATCTGAATGGGTTGTCAGATTGACTCTAAATTACCATCTATATAAGGCCTAAGCTTAGCAGTCCTGCATTCCTACATACATAAACTGGCACTTAAGATCTCCTACGCTGTATTTCTAATATTTGAAAAAGAAGCATTTTTAAGGTATACCTAATTAAATATATAAACTCCATATGCCTTTTTACCTACACTGAGTGGCCAGATTATTATGACCACCCCATCTGTACTTCGTTGGGCCACGAGATGACTCCACGAGATGACTTCGTTGGGCCGCCTCGTGACTCCACGAGAACGTAAAAGGTGATGCGAGAAATCTGACACTGCACTGTTGCCCTTCTGTTGTCGTGTACCAGTCTTGCCACTCTCCGTTCTGCCCTAACATTGACAGCCCAGTCTTTAAACACTAACAACAGCTGCTCTTGAACATTTAACTAATTCTGCTGTTTTGCTGATACTCGCTCCATGGCTCCGAGCGCCAACAATCATCCCACGTGCAAAGGCTGTTAAATCGCGTTGTTTACCCATATCTTCAGAAAAAAATCACCTGCTTCCATATTTATAATGGTCTGGCCCTCTAGCAACTTCAGCGCGAAATTATAGCTAATTATAGCTAATTTGCCTACAAACATCAGGTGGTCATAATAATCTGGCCACTCAGTGTATAACCCCACTTCCACATTCCTGCTTTCCCAACTGCCTGGTTGCCTGACAGAGCTGTGTGTAAGCTGTTGTGTTGGAGCATACACAGGGACAATGATAAAGCCTGGCAATTGGTGGAAAGATCTTCACACCTAAATTCCAGTGTTTCCCTTTTTAAGTATAGCTTCATCCATCGCTATCAATCCTTAACCAAAATATGAGTACCGAGTAGAATAATCCTTTAAGGCATCCTCTTAGAATTACTCATTAATGGATATCAAGAGATTAGCAGCAACAGTTCTCAATTGATCATGAATTAACATTTGCAATCACATTTAGCTTTGTAAAGTTTTTTTATTTACAAAAAGTTATAAGGAGTATTCAATATTAATTTTCAAACATGTATTTAAAGCCTATCTCTGGATAAAAAAACAAAAACTCCTCTTGCAGTGGGGCTACCCCCACACTGCAAGGCTTAATTGGTAGTTAAAGCCTATTCACACAGGCTAATCAGGAGGGGATCTGTGCATGGATCCCGTTTGTTTTTCGGACATGGCCAGAGTCGGGGGTAACCAGGTGTAAATGGATGCCTGTTTGTTTAGACTAGCGTTAGGCATCCGATTGGGTCCTCCTGAAAAACGTAGATTGGACCACCATGTGAAAGGGGCCTAAGAGTTTTTACTTAAGCAGTTTAACTTACCTAACTCTCACTCCTCTAACAGTTAGCGCTCACCTCTCTTGCCTCTGCTCTTGCTGTGGAATGTTCCTCAGTGTCCTCAAATCAAATGCGGGACTATGGACCCTGCATTAGAAGTGAAGATGTCAGCACAAGAGTGGGAAGAAGCTGCAGGCACAGTTTTTTGAGCCAGTGGAAGCGGGGATAAGTAAAACTATTTTGAGGAAAGCCCCTAGACAAAAATGAGCAGTTAACCCTTGCATTGTGGGGGACATGTACAAAAATCTACCAGTGTATGGTCAGTATTAGAACACCTTTCTTTGACTTTTGAAAAAGTTAGACAGCGCTGTCCACAAAAAAAAATCTATTCAAATCAATCCTCATGTTACTAAACCAGATGCTATCTCTTGCCATTATAGGGCCAAATAGCTAACACAGTGGAGTGTAAATTTATTTAATCCAGTCACTGGCCATTACTCTCCATTTTGTTTTCTCATCTTTTAGACTCAACATTTTCTTTATCTAGCTGCCTGCATGTATATGTAGGCTTTTTGCAACTGTTTTAATGGGTTTTTTTTGCTTTTATTTTATAGGATACCTATGCCAGTAAATTCAGCATATTCTGATGCATTATTATTATTATTATTATTATTATTATTATTATTATCATATTATTATTATTATTATTGGACACATTTAATATTAATCCCTTCCGAGTGGCATTTTTTTCTTTCTTTCTGAGGGAAAAGACCTTGAGGTATTAAGAGTACCATTTGTTTCACTACAAGGAGCTAGAATATATCAAATGAATTACACTTGGAGATGTAGAGGGTGCTTATCATGAACTGCTATGTACACTGCATGATCTCATCATGTGATATACAAAATATTGGATCTTTACATTGGGCAATTTTCTTTGAATCAGTGTCCTTCAAATCCCCTGTATTTGAAGTAGTGTTAATCTCCCAGCTCAAAAGATAATCTTTGGTTCTAAGACACTTACAGGTTTTTTTTTTCAATTGCCAGCAGAAAAAGTAGCCTAGCCACAAAGGAGCTTTGTGGGAATTTTGCTTTATTAATACAGAAAAAAAAACTAGCAGCAACAGTATTACTTTTGTCAGCTAAATGTAGGACATGACCTTGCAAACACATATTTAACAGCTTTCAAAGAAATGGAGTTGGTAGCTCAACTTTTTAAAAATTCAGTTTGCCTAGACCAAAGATTTATAAATTGCCATGGCAACATATGCTTTTGATATGGGACCCAGGGGCTTAGGAGGCTAGTCAGCAATATCATGTTCCCTAGGTATGCTGCTAGTAAGTTAGTTGCTGTCTTATGTGAATGCAGTAGTGTTTGTAACCTTGGAATGATAGTTGACTGCACATTTTGATACCTAAGCAGTATTTCAGATTCTTAATACAAAATAAAAAATGGAAACACCATCAGAATACTGCTATTATAATCGAACTGATAATAGCTAGTGGCAGAACTCTGAAACAAAAGGGCCGCTGTTAACAGGCTTTGGGCTTGTGTCAATGGGATCAGTTTGAGATGCTTCTGAAAGCATTCAGAATTAATTAACACATGCCATTGACCTCCTTCTGACCTGCATTTGACCTCCATCAAGCAGGTTTTGCTTTCTCATATTCTTGTATGAGGATGCAAAATCTGTTTGAATTAAACAAAAGCCCATTGACACTAAAACTGTTAATAGTGTAAACATTTGGTGAGGAACTAGCTGAGGCATCACAGTGCATGGAGTGTAGCTGCCCCTGGGCTAGGAGGCTTAATTATATTTGTGCAGCTGTTACCACTGCACACATAGTAGTTAAAGTGACACTAAACTCAAAAGTTAAATCTTAAAAATGCATTCAAGTAACTTAGCTATTACAAAAACATTTATCTTATTTGTGTATCACTCAGCTGTAGATACTCAAATCATCTCTAAATTCATGCTGACACTGTCCTTCCTTCTGGAGGGTGGCTACTTTTGTTCCCCATGGTCCCTGTGTGTGGAGCAACAGCTCCAAGCTCACTCCCGTGATGGATAACAATATCACATTTACAGGGCTTTTCACTAAGGGGTGAAGAGTTTGGAGAAGGCAGGAGAAGTGAATAATCTAGGACAACATATCTGAACTGGAAAGGAAGCTGAATTGGAGAATTTTTCTAAATCAGCTATTTTGGCCTAGATTGTTCACTTCTCCTTCCTTCTCCAAACTCTTCAAATCAATGATGGATTTCAACTGCAGTGATAAAAAAAATGTGTAGGAGAATATAATTTTTCTTGATCAAACGAAATTCTATCAGTGAATATGGTTTTAAGGGTATTAAGGAAACTCCATTCATTCCAAAATCAAATGTGAAATGGAAACAAAGATCAAACGAAATTTTGAATGACAACCATCAAGTCTCTGATGGCATTATCAAATGTTCTAACAAGATTGTTCCTGCGAACATTCTTTCAAAAATCTACCCTTATATACCCTACTTTAGAAACATTTAAAGTGACCCAGTCAGGTTCACTTTAAAAGTTGAACCTTAGCTAGAAAGAAAATAGCTATCTTCCCTTAGAAAGCTAGTAAGACCAATTTCTAAGTAGGGTATATAGCTTTTTCTTA